CGGGGGGGCGACGGAGACGACGAAGGGGACGGAGGCGACGGAGGCAGGATCGGCTACGATCGGGTTTAGCGAGGGTAAGCGAGTAAAAGTTAGAGGGCGAACGCGGATCGTGGGGGTATACCCGCGTTCGGCGTCTAATACAAAATAGAAAACGTGGGTTTTAAAAATTCACCTAAAACGCGAGAAACAAACAGTGAGGCGGCGTTTTTGAAAACGCCGCCGCACTTATAAGCTGCCCCAAACGGGCCCGTAGTCTCAAGGAATGTATTATACAACTCAAATTCACACCGGCCTGTATGATTTAGGGTGATTTTCTTTTCAAAGTGAAACTTATAACTTGAATTGTTGATTCAACCACGTATTAAACTCATCTGAGCTATCCTCATTATGGATCGATCAAAGGCAGCACTGTGAACATCAATGGACAAGTGAAAACACATTTGAGTTGCTGCCAATCATCCTAGTCTCCTGGAATTGATTCAATGGCCTTCTTGTTTCTTAAAATATTTACTTGTTACTAGATCATGTGCATATTGCAACATCAATTATAATTTTTGCCAACACATTTTAACTCTTATTTTATTATTTCATTGAGTCCTTTTATAACCATCTTATTAGAATCTATTAGTCTTTTTTAAATTGCCTTGAATAATTTACTTTTTTTCATTGTGTATGCCCTGTAATGGTCCATTCATCCAAAATTTATTTTTACAACTATCTTCTAAGTTAGCTTTATTGATCACATTTATAATCATTATTCTTTTTTATCTTATTAATTTTATTTTTTAGCTCTCTACTCATTACATTCCCTAACCCAATTCCTCTTAACCGTTCAAACGCAGATTAGCTGAGAACCTTTCCGCAATTGTCTTAAATTTTCTCCTTTGCACTGCAGAAACCATTTGCATTCATTTAATGATCCTGTCTGCATATGAATTCATCTAATCATCCTGTCCAGTTATCCTATTTTTTCATTCAATATTTTTAAGTTCTATGCAACCAATTGAACCATTGTTTTAGACTTAGTGAATTCTTATTACTTCTCGCCACAATTAAGTTGTGGTGCATCATTTATGGGTGACACCGTATCTTTTTCATTACATTTATAGAGTCTATTTTTATGCCATGAATCTATGACCTCCACATCTCATTGTGGACTCCCAATGATACCATTCTATCCTAGAAGGTCTGAGAGAACACAAGTAAGGGATAGGTAACTTGTAGGAGGGGTAAGGAAAGCTGGAGGAAAGATGTCGGCTGAAATCTGGCGTGAATGGCCGCTGAACAGCGAGCCAGAAGCAGAAACAAGCAGTTTTCCGCTGTCGAACAGCAGTAGGCAGCAATTTTGACAACAAAGAGGTCTTTAAATGTTTGGGATAGATCATTGCCTCGATTCTATCAGGTTACAAGCACATCACCCGAGAGAAATCCAAGGATACAACTATTCAATAGAGAAAATAGGGAAAAACATTTCCAAATAACATAAATCAAGCTAGCTTTCTCAAGAACAGCAAAACATACACATAAATGGTCTTTAATAGAAAGAAAAATCTGTTGAAATTGAAAACTGGGCAGCATCTTTGTTCGGCACCCGCATCACCCTAGCTATTGCTCTAAGCCTGCTTCCGAATTTAGTGGTGATTGTATTGTATCAACTGTTCTTTTTGGTGCTGTGTTTAAACTTCTATTTTGGTCCTTTTTTCTTCCATTTATGTTGAGTTTCCTGTGTTAAGTAAAACTTTGTTGACTCATTTCAGTGAACTTGTCAAGTTGGGGGCTATATTCATAGCCTTTTTTACTTATAAATGGAACACTTTTTCTATAGTGTTTGTTTATCTTTTTTTAATTTACATGTCATTTTGGCGTTTTCATTTATGCCTATCTCACAGGTTTGAAATGGAAGAGAAAAAAGACGAGGAAGATAGCACACTAAATGAGGGTGAAGCAACAATTGCAATAGGTCATGCTCTGAGACTGGTTGAGAGTGGCGTTCAGGGATGCGATATAGGGATCATCACTCCCTATTCTGCACAGGTTTCCTTAACTTTCTTTTCTTTCAGTTGTGCGTGTATTCGTAAACTTATCCACCTAATTAACAGCTCTCCAAGCCATTCTCTCTATATCCAGCAGACTTGGAATGATTTGGCAATTTTATATAGGATAAACTGGGTTTATCTTTTGATCCTTCTAGCATTGTTTTTTCAGACTGGTCTGCATTTGTAAGGTGGTTGGATACCTTAACCATATAAATTCTTTTGATTTTCTCCGATAGTTTTTAGACCAATCTTTTCAGTCCTTCCTTCCATTCCTTCTCTCTTTTTATTTCTAGAGAACATGCTAGGTATTGATGAATGAAGGGGCCAGAACAACGTAACTTATAAGGGTTTGATATAAGTTTTCTTGTAAATTTTGTAGAGGGTAATATCTATGCTTATAGCCTTTTAAGTATTTATTCTACCTGCATTGGCAGCCTTTGCTTTGGACAATACCAAAATCACCCATGTTTTCTCACCTTCTTTTCCTTTTCAACCTCATTTGTGTTTTAGTCTTCTTGCATGTTATGCTTTTTGCATTTATGCCGAGAGGCTAATTGTGACTCCTCACAATATCCTTCCTGATTGAAGGACGTGGTACATGCGAGTGCAGCTTAGCCTACTAAATCTATTTCCAACTTTCATTTTGGAACTATTCTCGCTAGAAAAGGGTGAGTAATATGCACAATTTCTGAATGACTAGAACCTGAGGGTTTGTTTGGGACAGCTGCTTCTATTTGAAGAAGCAGTTGTTGTTGAAGCAGCATGTTTGTTTGGATAGTTTAACTGTGCTGCAGCTATTTTTTGGATAAAGATTGTAATGTCCTTATAGCTGTAAGCTCACTGTTTCAGAATGAACTCAAACAGAACGATAGAAATGAATTTCATAAATTCTCAGAAAGTTACAAATTCAAAATATTACATATAAAATTATACATCACTTATCACTTTTTAAGGCAAAATAAAATTATAATAACAATCAGTAATGTTATCATAATATCATTTTTAATGTCCAAACGATCATGTTTATCACCAATATTAATGTTAGCAAAACAAAGACAAGCGTCCACGCTGTAAATGAAGCATTTAGAAGGGATTACCAGTCCAATTTACAAAGTATACTCTGCAATAGTCAAGTTTTCTTAATGATTAGGAGCAATTTAAAAGGATTCAAGTTATAATAATTTACTTGAATGCTAATATGATCCTACATCCAATTTTCCTCTACTATGCATGCATTTTTGCGTACTTTTATTTTGTCTCAAAATCAGCATGATAAGCTAATGAAAATAAGGGCATTGGGGAACACAACAAAAACTTCGATGATAGCCTGCTTTGTCTTGGAAGTCACTGTTGACCTCATTTTTAGTGAGGTCTAGTCTTTCTCTTAGGATTTAGGATCTAGCCTTAGGGGTCTCCCGGCGACTATCTTAGAGCCTTAGAAATGTGACCCGCCTCGTTTTAGGAGTTCGACCTACTTCCGTCCCCTTTTGGAGTTTCGCGTGTGTGGTATCGACTTCTAGTACTTAGAAGGATGAAACCGACAATGATTCACATCGCTTGCACTGTTATTCGTCGAGGGCTCGAGTAAACCTTTTGAGACGATCGATCGCGGGTCGAAATTTTGTGAATCGAAATTTTGTGAAATTTGAATTTTTACTCGTTTTGACCCGGTTGTCAACGACGTCGCCCGAGCAACCCCGGATGACAAAACGGACTGCACCGGAGCGTCCGGAACGTCGATTTTGCCCAGGGAGGGCACCCTTTTTGTTATGTTGCCGCGCGAGAGTAAATCGGGTTTTATTTAATATATTTATATATATATATTAATTAACTTTTTTTTACCCCTCCCCCTTTCCTCTTTAATCCCTAGCACTCCCTGCGTCCGAGCTCTGTCTCCCTTCTCCCGTTCGCGCGCCTGACCTCTCCCTTTCTTGGTCTCGAGCCGAGCGAGCTCTTCCTCCTTCACGCGAGAGAAAGCTGAATTATGAATTTGCTTGCGTCCTTGCCCGACACTCTCTGCCCGCAACCTTCTTTCCCGAAGCCGCGCCAGTCTCCTTGAGCTGTGGATTTCCTTTTCTTGGTAGTTTGACTCTGGGAGGCTTGTTCCCTGGTACACTTGAATGACATTTCTTCTCCTCTTCCCGACGTGCCGCTCGGTCCAAGAGACTTCAGTGGCTTTGCCTTCTGTGAGCAGGGAGCGTGTCCTTTTCTTCTTTGGCCCGATTCGAGTGCTGTGGACTGTTGAGGGTGGTTTTCTTTCTCTTCTCTCTATTCTCTGTCTATATACACAGTTTCTTTTGAAATTTTTGAGGTTGTTGGAAAAGTTTTCGGAGAGGAGAGTAGAAATTTTGGTTGTGAGGAGTTTGGGGGGAGAATTTCTGTGAGAGCGTTTCTTTGAGGCGAACTCTTGTGTTGCAGGGCTTTACTTTAGCATTCCTGAGGTATCATTCTTCCCCCCTCTTCTTCGGTGCTCTGTTTCTTTTCGGTTTTCCTCTCTGCCGGGTCTTTGAACTTGGCTCTGTTGGAGAATACAACATGCTAGCTCATTTTATTTGGATATATTTTCTTGAGATATTTACTTCAAGTGCATTTGGAAATGAAAATGTGAGCATGTGTTAAAACTAGACTTGGTTACTTACTTAAACTAGGGAGACTAAATCTTTCACGTTTCCCTCACGTTTTACGCCCACACTTCACAAAATCTTTCACGTTTCCCTTCGCGTTCCACATCCTCACTTCACAAAATCCTCCACGTTTCACTCACATTTTGCATTCTTCACGTACGTTTCACGTCCTTCTCACTTCACAAAACCCTCCGTGATCCTCGCATCCACTACTCACATTTCCTCCTCCGGGACCGTAGGCCTCCGCCCTACTCCCAACGAAATTTACTCCGGGACCGTAGACCTCCGTTCTACTCCCTCGGGACCGTAGGCCTCCGCCCTACTCCCAACGAAATTTACTCCGGGACCGTAGACCTCCGTTCTACTCCCTCGGGATCGTAGGCCTCCGCCCTACTCCCACCGAAATTCTCCGAGACCGTAGACCGTCGTTCTACTCCCTCGGGACCATAGGCCTCCGCCCTACTCCCACCAATATACCTCACAATATACCTCACCGATACCCTCCGGGACCGTAGGCCTCCGCCCTACTCCCTTTTCAGCACTAAATCCTAGCACGAGTCCGAAATCTACACCTGAGGCTCGATCTGAGGCTCGATCTCGATAGCCTCGAATCCATCTTCTAATCCCCAGTGGATATGTTTCTATCACTCATTCCTACACTTTGTTCTAGGTATGATGACCTAGTCTTTCGTATTGGTTTCGTTGATCTTTTCGGTCAACACCAATACGCGCGGTGTGCTCGTCCGGCACACCACACCTATTGGGGGTCCATTTGTTGACCTCAATTTTTCGTGAGATCTAGTATTCCTCGTAGGAGTTAGGATCTAGCCTTAGGGGTCTTCCTGCGACTATCTTAGAACCTTAGAAGTGGGACTCGCCTCGTTTTAGTTCGACCCGTTTCAGTACCATTCTGGAGTTTCGCGTGTGTGGTATCAACTTCTAGCACTTAGAAGGACGAAACCAGCATGAGGAAACCCAAAAGGGATTCCCTATAGGACCTTCCTGAGCCTTATAGTGGCCTTTTGCACAATTCGCACTCTCACGCACAAGCTTCGCATTTCGGAGAGTTGACGCGTTTGATCGCCACGATTCGCATCGCTTGCACTGTTATTTGTCGAGGGCTCGAGCAAATCTTTTGGGACGATCGATCGCGGGTCGAAATTTTGTGAAATTTAAATTTCGACGCGTTTTGACCCGATTGTCGACGACGTCGTCCGAGCGACCCC